GCCCATGACTCCTGCAGGCTGTCAGGTGAAAGTGAAACCTAACTGTCTGCTGAGCTCTCCACGACTTCTCACTCAGTGAAGCTCTTTTCAAATTCAAAATACCTTTGAGGAAATGTATTTTCAGATGACAAGTAAATTGCATCATACCAGACCCCCCCACCCCCGCACCGAAATGGGCGAGACAGAAGCAGAAGGTGGTTCTTAAAGAGACAGAGGCCAATTTCAAGGCGTTTAGAAGAGGAAGTGACGAGAAGACAAGTTTATTTTCTATTTAAACATAAAAACAGCATTTTAATAACAGCTAAGGGTGGCATAGATACTTTATTATGGTATAGTATTTAAATATATGCCTGAGAAACACATAATATTGCCCCTTTAAATTAGAAAATCTATGTTCATCTGTGTCAGACTAATGCTAAATATGTCACCTCACAACTGAGTGTTGATTAAACTGGAATCTGTGTGAGTTTGCTGTAATTGCCTGACAACCTCATGGTGACAGAGAGACCTTTCTACTCACAAACATTTTACACGTTGGCATTTCTAAATGCAATTAGAAACTTTTAAGTACAAAAGAACTAGTTTGCTTTATTTCAGCATAAACTTAAAAGTCCAAAACGATGTTGGCTTTATGAATATAATTCCACTTGTAAGTTCAAGTGTTTTAAAACAAATCTTTCTGTAGTTTTTATAATCAAAATAGACAGAAGGGATTGTGTTGTATTAATGAAGCAATATAATATTTCTATCACACTTTTGTTTTTACTGGCAGGAGGTAAATCACGGTGTCCACTAAATCTCGTTGGTCTTTATCCATTTTTTAAATTCATTGCAACGGTTTGCCAAACAATATTATCATCTACATGCACCATTTTCATACCTGTCTTGTCAGATTATACACTGTTTTGTTTACAAAAAGGCATATTTTTAGACCTTGTATACAAATGAATAACCAGCTTGCAATCAGGCCACCTAAACAAACCACCTACAACCTGATGTACAACGTTGGTTGTCTGCATACGTACAGTCCATTGGTCTGATTTGGAATCAACATGCTGCTGGGAACAGTCAGAAGAAACGCCAGAAGAGTTGAACTGAATGTACAGAAGCTGCTTGTGGGAGTCGGCATTGAAAAGGAAGGAGATGATTCATGCTGACATGCCTGCAGAGCTGCTAGATTTAAAAGCCATGGCAAATACATGGATATTGTATGACTCAGCGTGTGGTCATCACCGAGGTTAGTGGGGGGAGAAAAAAAAACAAAACATTGAAGTGAACAGATTTTGGCTTGTTGCTATGGCTCAAAATGAGGGCAGCTGTATTGCTGTTGTCCTTATTTTGCACTTGTCGGCTGTTACGGTGAGGGAACAATGAGCCGTTTTTTTTTTTACACAGAGCCAGATACCATCGGGCCATCTGATTGGCTTGMTAAATGAGCACCAATCACCTTGATTATATTCCTGCCTCATTTCCTGCTTTTTTATGGCTGCTCAATGGTGCAGAGTGCAGATTAATGGCACCTGCATTAACACAGCAGCAGAAAATAATCATTCACGTGCACAGATTCCCTCTGATTTGTGTTCATTCAGACACACAAGCTCTGTAATAAACACAGACACTTTTTTACTTTTCTGATTCATTATCTTCCTATAATTAACGCAGCCTGATACAGCTGTTCTCGTGATTTTACGCACACATTTTCACTTTGTGTTTGTGTTTGTTCATTTTTTTGAGCACAAAACCACACATGTTCATCCTTTCTGTGTGTTTTTAATGGGAGTTTTCTTTCTCACGAGCACATTTCTGTGTTCTCCCCCATTATGCATTTCTTGCCCATTATGCCGACTTGTCCAGTGTGCATGTCCATTGTCGCGGGCTTTCCTTGAAGCGTTGTGTTCGGCAGGTACGAACGAGCCGGTCCCGTTTTCTGGCTCTCTCCAAAAGCTTTCGGTGCGCTGCAGTGAGCCGCGCGCTAATGGCTGTCTTTTGTATCTGTCACAGCTGCTCTGTGTTTGTGCGTGTTTTGAGGAGGAAATCGGAATGGTAAAATGGAGTAGGGAAAATGCTGYGTCATCCTTTTGCATTTTGCAGCGTCATTTGTATCTTGTACATGCGTCGTGCGAACGCCTGCGTGGATCCAGGCATGTGTTGTTCTTTTGTGTGTCTGTGCACACAGTCCCAGCAGCAGAGCAGAGTTGAGTCAGGGGAAATCACAGATTGTAGTATTTTTTTTTTTGTGAGAAATAGTCCTGTAACATACAGAGTGAACACAGGTACACACAGGAGCTGCAACAGGAGTCGTTACCYCAGTGAAAAAAACCAAAACAATCCTCTGGTTACCTTTTTGAGCTACTGAATTCATCTAACTTTTAAGTCATCTGTAGAAAAATAAATTCTGTTTTTAATCAATTTAAATAGTTCTATAATATTTTAAATAAATTATCCTTACAGAGGCACTGAGGCTTGCATTAAAAAGAAAATTACATTTTTTTAATGCATGTTCAAATATCGACATGACTGTTTTGCGAAGCTTCCTTAGCTTCAAACAGCCTAACTGCTAGCAGGCACGTTTCTGACTGTCTCCAAATAAAGGCCTTTGATTCGTTTGTTTGTTTTTTTTATTTTGTTTTGCTTTCTCTCCCTTGACATTGTGTTAATTAGAAATTTTTATCCTAATTACTTCTTTGTGTAAAGTGATTGTTTTGATGCGATTTTTCTTTTGCCCTAGTGGGGATGCAGATGCCATGACGAAATACCCACAACCCCTTGGGGTCCTGGAGGCCGTGGTGACTTCTGTGCACAACAATGTGCAGAGTGGGTAGGTTGCATTTATCCACTTCCAAACTAATGCACATTTCTCTACAATCTTTTCAAAAAAATAGYTTTAAGAATTCTCATTTAATCATTGATAAAATAAATTACAGCTGATTTTACTTTGTACGTTTTGMAAACTAGGACTTTTTTCCAACTATTAAATAATGTGGTGTATATAGTGTTTTCCCTCGGAATTGTGGCTTAGTTTCGTAAAAAATATTTATTTCCATTTTTAGTTTGATGCTGTTATCAGGACAAATAGARTCTAATTCTCAACTTGTACAATAAGGTACATTTAACCTCAAATAGAATACACCATAACACCTATTACTTTTTTATTTTAACCAAGTTTTTTTAAGCTTCTTCAGGGTTTCTGCATAACACATTTCAAAAGCCAATAAAATGTATAATGAATTAAAATATTTTCGAGGAGAAACTTTTCTACATTCATGAACTTMAACTCATTTTTACCTGTGTTGAGCYAAAATTTGTTGTGGTTGTAACTTTGACTCCTTCCTAACACAAACTCTGAACAACAGCTTGCCATTTCTTTGCTAAGCATTTATCATGCAAGGCAGCACGCGATGTCCYGCTGCTTTTATCTGGTTCTTACTATGTAAAAGGTCACAGGCAGGGACATTTGGATTTTAAGTTGATCCTAATTAGTTTTTCTAACATTCTTTTTCAAGCAGCATTCCCAGGTTYGTCACAGCCAYCCAAACASCTCTGACWTCACTGATTGACCAMAATTTCACATTTAGAATTTCTAGGATTTACGTTTGGTTACAACAATAAAATCATAATTTGGTGTACAATCAGTCTGTGAGATAGCCTGGCCAAAGTCACAGGAACCTATAAAAACCAGAAGTGACACAAGCATCAAAGTTCACACATTAACTGTTCCAAACAATACAATGTTAACTCAACAAAACTTGTCAAAGTTAATTTAAACCAAGACATCATATCAAATAATCCATAAAAATATGAAACATAACAAACCCAGGATAGTAAATATTTGCAGGCGACAGAACAAATATGAAGTAAATCAAACAAACAAGAATGTTAACTGAAAATACCAAGACTAAACTTTGGGGCAAATTGTGTTCTCACCTTTGTCACATAGTCTTACGTCCCACGTTTTGTCATTGGCTTTGAACCGGCCTGTGACAATTGGGGGCTCATCCGGGATCCAAACCCAAGACTTTTTGCATTATAAGCGAGACCCATACTCTCTGTCCTACTCTATGGTTAATTAAATATTTTTGCTGTCTGCACTCTCAATGTCACTTAAACGTGGTTTGGTAATGTTTATCATTCTATAAAAAATTCCGAAAGACCAGCATTAGAGATACTCKATTAGCTCTTCTTCCTATGTCACCCTGTGTCTCTTTATCTTTGCTTTGCTTTGCAATGACTGGCTCCTGTCTTCGCCCACCCACCTCCTCCATAAGTGACAATGCTGTGACATCAGATGACCTGCTGGCCTGGCTGCGTCCATTCTGCGGCGACGCTTCTCTTCCTGTACGGCCTCGCATCGATGTGCTGCAGATCCTGGAGAACAACTTCAATCTCCRAGACAGCGACGTCCGTCTTCTGCTTCTTTATAGAACTCAGGCTGTTCTAAAAGACAGAGAGGTAACTACTGACACACACACACACACATACACACAAAGTGAAAATTATGCGGTACTTGACAAATTACTCAGTGCCTAGCAGTTGTTCTTATTTTCTTCAAAAGAACATTTTAATTAGTCCTAAAGGTTTTACAGAGGTTTGTTATATTTGTTGAGGACATAYTTGAAATTAAGAAAAGAAAAGGGAATGTTAAAGTAAAAGAACTAGAGAACTGAAGGTTGGTAATGAGGGAGAGAAGACGCTAAGAGGATGAATAAAGAAATGACTCATGTGAATGTTGACATATACTACTTTCACATTAAAAATAACAAGCTTTTGCCTCCAAACAGCAATTCTTCTGCCCAAAGAGAAAAGACATATGTTGATGATTCACTCCTATCTTGTCTTGATGGCTTTTAGCATCCCTGAAACCAAYGGTTGTGCATTTTAATCTTCAGTTATTAACAAACAAATCGTAATGTAAAACGGTTGTGCTGTTGTGTATCTACAGTTGACWGACTGTGGAGAAGAAAAACAGTTTTGCTTGTTTTTTTATCACTAAAGGTCAGTTATTTTTACAAAAAGCCAGGGGTGATGTTATAATGCAAGACTACAGGTACATCAGTTGATCGGTTGGCTGACCAATTAGACTGAAATCTGCCATTTTTAAAAATAACCAGCATCAGCTAGACCTAAGCAAACTATATCTATTAACAAGCAGGAAGYCTGTGGGAAGCCCAGTGTTGTTACAGCTGATATGACACTTTGTGTTAATCAAACAGAGCTCTCTTCAGCTAGGGTCCCTTTCATAGCAGGGGTGCTTTTTTGCAACAGTTGATTTGATTTTTTTATGCAGAATATTTAAAGATGCAATTACAAGAAAAAAATGTAAAGCTTTCAAACTTTTTTAAATCCAGGAGAGTATTTAAAAGGTTTTGATCAGTTCAGTATTTAGGCCTGTCACAATAAGCAATAAATCAATTAATCACACAGTAACTTTACAGACACTTCTGTAAAAATTATGAGGATCTTTGCAGTTATTTTATGAAGCCAAAGGAAGACACATTCAGAATAAGTCTATTTACCAAAAATAGTCTCTMAACATTGTTTACCACAATTTCTGAGACAATTCATCAAGCAAATTTTACCCTATTGGTTTTCCTACTGTCCTCCCATTCCACACGTTTTGTCCAAATTTGGCAAATTTCTTCAATTACCGTTAAGTTGGTTTTGTCAAAGTCTTGAGTCTAATATGTATGAAAAAAGTTCAAGTTTAAAAAGAAACAACATAATCAGCTTTAAATGTTGCCTAATAACTGCACTGATGTCAAAGAATTTTCCTCGGTCCTTCAAAATTCCATATACGTCAGCATAGTTTGCTAATGTGATGATTTGTACTTTATCCGGTTATTTATCATTATTTCTTGGTTATCTGCCATGCACGAGCCATTATCATCAAATGATTTGATCTGTATTTATTTCACAATGCTTTGTTTGCAGTAAGATTCTTGTATCGTATTTGTACTGCAGCTTGTTGAAATATTTTTTGGGGTTCTGCCTCTACCCTTCTTCCTCCCCTGTGTTAGCAACCAATGACTGGCTAGTCATTGGGTTTTTTTACTGACTAATTCATGGGCCAATCTGGTTAATTAATGTGTAGCTCTATTCCTGCAGCCRCAGGCCATTGTGAGCGCAGGTAGACAGGTGTGTGGGCCCGGGCTYTTTAACTAATTGTGTGAACTCGTGACATTTGGCAGGCTCTGATGAAATACTCTCACMGAGGCAGACGTGCTTTTGCTGCACTCTTAAAGGAGAGGACTTCCAAGGGATCTGTTAATTAATCTTGTAAAAGACATCTTGCAGTAAGAGCAAGACTCGTTTCAAATGAYGTGACACTGTTTCTTGTCTCTCCCTACGGCAACTAAATGTGTGAGCAGGATTCTTGGATTAGGGRGCTAATTTAGCTTTCATTAGTCCAAATTTTTGCTACTTTGAAATATTTCTCACATCCTCGGATGTACCGACCCACATTTCCCGTGCACGCATGAGGACACACAATCATACTTACTCTTTTATTCATTATGTTTTGCCTCTTAATTTGAGCAACTTTTCATTGTGTCAACTGCTTGGCTGAAAGCAGCTGTACATTGATCATATTAGTCGTTACCACACATGAGCACSTCGCCYGGAAGCCCCTGACCTCAGYGGGTTGGCTGGCAGTCAKAAGATGAAGGGGAGTAGAGGGAAAGTGGGGCTTCAGGAGAGGGAAGAAAAGTCACATTGGTAGAGATAAGGGTGAGAGGGAATAAAAACAGAGTTGGTATTGTTCTCCTGCCCCCATGGGCCTTTAATAATCAGCTCAACTCMCTCCTAACAATGTCCCACAGGTTACCTTAGAGACGAAATCACCTTTGTTGTTATTTTCTTCATGCTCTTGCACACTCATTTAAGGGCTACTTRCATGTAACGTGCAAACAAACAGACTGAACTGCCTGCTGTGTTTTCTTATGACATTCCTTCTATTAGGCCACGGTTTGAATATAACTGATACCAGTAATATGTTAAAGTTTGTGGTTCTCTCATTTTTATTTTTCAACTACTTGTAAACAAGGGTTGTAGCATGCAGATTTCAGGGTTATGGGCTGCGGCCCGAGTTCCACCTTGAGGGCCTCAAAAGAACAACAGTTTTTAACTTCGGGCTGCAGAGGGCCACKGSACTGCRTAGACTTTGAATAAGGYGCAATACAGTTTCTCACCACTAGTAGCGGTAGTGCGCCACCCAGATGTTTAACAACTTTTTTAATACGTAGAAGAAACCTGATACGTACGTTTTTAATACGTACCTTAGAAACGTGACGAGAATGGAAACCTATTTTAAATGAAAAGTGGAAGCAAAAATGAAGGTAACCCATCAAAAAAATGCCAGTTTGTCACTAATATGAAGTGCAGCCTCTGGTTCTACCATGCAATATTTTAAAAGTTCAAAACATTATCAAATACAGTTGCAGATATGCCTATATTTTAATTTGCATTTTATCCAATAAATTTTTGTAATTTATTTTTAAGCATTTTTTTCAAAAACCTTTTGCTGTTATTGTTTGTCACTAAAATGAAAAGCAGTTTCTGGTTCCACCGTGCAAAAGTTTAAAAAGGCTTCATTTTCATTTGCACTTTATCAAATTTATTCATTTATTTATTTTTGTTTGGAACATTTACATTAAATATTTTTGAATGTATTTATTTTATGATCACTATTTTATTTATTGAA